GTAATATGCCATTACTCATTGTCACAGGATTATAACTATGTATTTAAATATATTGTTAAAGTTTTGATTAAATATGTTTTTAAGCTTGTAAGTTATAACTGGATCAATTTATCGATACTTCATAAGTAATTGAACCAAATTAATTATTTTTTTGTTTTAATTCAATATATTTATTTATATAAATATTTACATTTTACATACACATAAATATTTATATAATATATAATGTGCAAATAATGCCAAATATTACATTTACTTCACTCAATTTCGAAATGTACATTTGTGTATAATTTATATTAAGAATTCARATTAGAGAACATACGTATATTTGTGTAACTGACATAAAAAATTAATAATAATAAAACTAATTATTGCATAAATCTTTAAAATTTTAAATATCTACTATAAAATAACAAAGTGTCTATGAWTATCATATATATTGTTCGTGAAGGTTGATTACAAAGTTATCATAAGAAATACATAAACTATAAAGTATATATATCCCTTATTAGTTTTCAAGCATAAGCCAATAAGTATAAATAAATAATATGTGTATGTAATGGCAAACAAATATTCTAAGTTTAGCTAAAATTAAATCCGGCACAAAACCCACTGATTATAATATTTTTATTATTTTTATTTATAATCAATTCGAATAGTGAAATGTTAGCTTTTAGTATATGRTGCTTACCTATAATATGTTTATAAAAAATAAATTAAGATAAGGTTTATTGAGATTTCTAAAATCAATAAATAATTTATGTAAGTATRTATAATTGTAATAAGCCATTAAAATATAATAATTTAATTTATTGTCAACCTTGTTAAAATAATGTTGAATACAAAAATATATTTYCCAGACATTTTATTAGTGAAAAAAATACTTTTTCATCTATAAGAAATTAAGAAGACTGTTCTGCAAATAAAACCAAAAGGTATTAATCTAATACAATACTTAATGATAAATTTAATAGTAGCCAGGCAAWTTATTATTCTCAAGTTTTAACAAGCCCCATAATCACATTAYCATTTRTTAAATTTAATTTGTATACAAATACAATTATCAATGCAAGATAATAAYATGTAGGTACACTATTCGTATTCTCAAGCTTAWTAAAATATTTTTATATGACTTAATACAACTATGCATTTCAAAGATTTTGACACGTTGTTATAAACGATGGTTTGTCATCTATATAGCAATAATAATTTCTATTTAATGATTATCTAGTCATGTGTAGGCACCTCCTATTAGTCGTCTTGATACGTCACGATAGTCCATATAATACATATAGTTATGCAAAACCGTGATCTCGRTCAAAATACCGACGTCCTATAATTTCTTCAATCTGTCTGTCCGACCTCCCCCCTCCGCCCATCTATCTCCACGCGTCAATGGTTATACAGCAGACTCTCCTAACAAGCACTCTATACACATGTATATATAGGAGTATATTATTATTATGCGTGATGGTCTGGCGACTTTTCGGTTCACGACTAGAACACAGGTAAGGGGGCCAAGGGGGGTGGCGGAGTGTGCGGTTAGAGACTGATAGTGTGTAAAGGAGTAGACGACGGAGGTTAGGCTGAGTGCAGCTRTAGAGGCGACGGCGGGCGGTTCCCTGGCAAAGTGCGTTCAGAGCACCGCCGCCGACGACGACTACTACTACGACGGCGGCGGCGGCGGACGATCGATCGAACTGCTTTGACCCGGGTGTGACTGCCGTTGCCGGCTTTTTCGCAACGAWATTATTTTATGCATGCGAACGCCCTTTACTTTCAGTTATCATCTTTTCCAAATTACCTCGTCTCACCATCATCCTTTAACACATACCCAAAAACCGTTCAGAACAATTATCTTTTAATACTTAATGACTATATGACGCGTTATATGTATACCTATCCTCGTGTGCTCGTCGTACAACAACAAAAACGACGGCGAACGTGCAGTTAGGTATCCTCGAGTGCGTGCCCCGCAAAACGGGCAAGATCTCGGTGTCATTTGGGAATTATCTACTCTAATAAATATTTTTGAACGTCGGCTGCATCCTATATACGTGGCGCGTATTACCTATATTGGATATAAAAGTATAGGAAGCGAACGCCGTAAATAAAACGAACACGAATTCGTTCTCATACCGGTTTTATCCTCGATACCTCAATCGATATTGTATATAGGACAGTAGAACTTAAACTGTTGTCTACGGCCTMCTGGGAGTCCACGATACTCATGCGGAGGTCCAGGGCGTTGACAAATAAAGCTTTGAAAGTTTTAATTCCATTCCATACAACTTATTTATCCGAAAAAGCCTTCTCCCCGATTGTTTATATTAAAAACAAGTTTCGAAACCGCGTAGAAAACACAGAATCTGAACTACGAGTAAAGCTTTCGAGTATTGGGTGCGATATTCAAAATCCTGTGTTTGGAATGCATGCAACGCCACCCTTTGCATTAAATAATACAAATAAAATATCTWAAACATTTAATTCTTATGTAAAATTAATTATATTATCAAAAATAATAATGAAACCGATAATGCGGTTTGGTGTACCTCTTTATGTGATTTTTAATATTATAGTGTTGGTTGTGAAAAATTGTATAAAAAAAAAAGGCACTTCGAAAGAAAATAATTGGGAAGTGGTCTTTGTACTTTAAAATAATATTGTTACAGAAATATTTTCATATTTTTTTAGAGCCCTATATCTGAGCAAGGYCCAATTTAGCTATACCTGTATTAACCATATTACATGTATTAATAACTTATTATAATATTAGTGATATAGTTTGAAAGTGTTACTATAATATATAACTAATATATTCATAAAAATATATCGTCTGGTATTAGCGTATTACGTTTTTCCCAAAGCGTGTTGTTGTACCTTATTTTGATGATTCGTTTTCAAATTTAATTATGCGTGATATGAATAAAAACGAATAATCGTATCCAAATTCATAATTCGTATAATGTATGCATGTACACATAATTAGTAGTTATTGGAAGAATGGAAATTACAGTAAATGTATTATGCCATACGTGTGAAAATTGTCAAGCATGATTAATAGATGTTTGCTTACATTGACGGGCGCAAATATTTAACAAAAAAAGATAAAAAGATTTAATACTGTATAAACAAATAGCGTCGTCGGCATCATACAATTTTAAAATTAAAAAAATATATCATTTAATCTTTTAAACATTATCTCTGATATTGATTTTTTATATGTATATTTAAACAAGAGAAAAAACGTGACGACTGTTGAAACAGACAGTTATCTCTTTTGGTATATATATATAATAATTATATACATTATATATATAATAATATAATATAATATCACTCAGCAAAAATTAAATAATGAAATATTCATCGTGTCGGTAATTGATTTAATTAACAAAAATTCATTTAATTTTTGTATTTTTTTTTCTTGGTTTTAATGTTTTAATGAATTTTTTACAGTCGATTAATTATCATTATAATAAGTATTAATAACAATTTATTTATTAGAATTTACTTTATGGAAACGTGCAGATAGTTAATAATATTTGAATACATATTGTATATTTCGTCGTGAAATACCATGAATAGAAATATTTCAACACTACGATATTCAAAACTTTTCCCGTGTCGAATAATTTACAGTAGATATCTTATTTTTTATAACAATGTCCGATACGATAGCGAGTCTCGTTGCTATAGAATTTGTTACTATAGCGATCACAATTGTTATAAGCAATATTATTATACAAAACTATAACAGCATAAAATTATAATTTTATTCGTAAAACTTTATTTTCCACAAAATTTAATTCAATAATAATTCTAAAAATTTTCAAATAAATTTTTTTTAATTAAAACTTCAATAACGAACGATCATGGCCGCGAACGCATTTTCCATCCTAGATGACATCAATATCGTCTTGCACGATACCACCAAACCGTGGAACATCCTGTTTACCTATGCAGAACGACGGACTGGCATTAACCGTTTGAAACTGTTCTTCGGAGTCGTGTGCGTCACGTGCATGTTACTGATCCCGGGCAGCATATTCGCAATGCTGTTGAGTGACCTGCTCGGATTTGCGTTTCCGGCTTACGCCACCATTGTGCTGATGATGGAGTCTGTTAGACAGTTGCCTTCCCGTGCGGCCAACGACCGTACGTCCGTGTCGCCGGCCAACAGATTATTCACGTATTGGTTGATGTTTGCGGCCACGTTGACGGTGCAGCAGATGTGTGCAGGCCTGCTGCGGTTCGTGCCATTCTATTGCTTGATCAAAACTGCATTTTTTGTCTGGTGCGCAGCACCGATCAAAGCCAACGGTTCCGCGTACGTGTACGCCCTCGTCGTTCGTCGTTATTTCAGCAACGGGCGTTGACCAGTCGCATATTGTGAGTTTTCGAACATCATATCTAGTGTCGGGAACACATTAGCTATTTGTATAATTTAGCATAAGTCTATTGTCTGTCTTAGAACATAAGAATATATTATTTCTTCTTTTTTTTTGTCAAGTTGAATGGATTTTAAACTTATGATTTTTGTACGAATTAAACATTTGTAACAACCAACAGGAATTACAGCTAATATAGTTTACAGGGAAATATTATATTAACGATAAAAATCAGCTTAATAAACAATTTATATAATACGACATATTTTTTTAAACAATCTTATTTAAATTTAATTTAACAAGACAATATTTAATCTTATCAAGTAACAACAATTAATAAACCCGGCAACGACGGGTAATTCGGCTAGTATTATATATAGCAGGTTAATAATCGCATCGATAATTGACAATTTTATTGGCCAATAATTATAAAGGAACCAAATAAAATAAAAATATATTTGCATCAGTATATTCTATTTCTTGTTCATAATTTTGTTCATATAGTAATTAGAATCGTTATCGTAATCCATCAATATTAAATTGTGGATCATTTTAAATAAAATGTGTATTTTGGATAAACGCTTGATGATATTCGGTTTGACGAGAATTTCCGTCATATCYTCATCTAAAAATAAACTAAGCCTTTAGATATTTTTGAAAAAATTATAATCCTAAGGTCAAATAAAAGTTTGGAAGACACTTCTAACCGTATGGTCCAATAAATTGTATAGAGGTTTATAGAAGCACCAGATTAACATACCTATTTATATATCCTCAGGATAACATAATTTCTTTGCTTCTCATATTCCATTATAATATGAAGGATACACATTCACTCCATGCTCTTACAAACCTAATCGAGTTTGATGGAGCACGGGTTTAATTTTCGCGGTCATTACAAACCTCTCACCCCTAACCTGTAATATTATCAATAAAAATAACTATACACATATCAAGTGGGCAACTTTGGACTTATCATAATTTAAAATTGACAAAATAGCAAGTTTACTTAAGTCATGTGACAAATCAGAGCGCTAATTTCCGTTTTTTTTTTTAAAAATCAATTTGATTATATATTTCGTAATATTAAAAACAAGTATTTATATTGAAAGGTGCGTAGGTACTGTGAAAAAAATAGCTATGTAATGATGATTATTTTAAGGTGCTTTGTCATAGTTTCTCATAGTATAGATAAAAACGTATAAAACATGAGATAAGCATCTATTTTAAGACTATTAGATAATAAAAAATTATAATTTACTTAAATTTTATCTAAATTTTGATATTTTGTTTTTGTTGCAGTTAAACTTCAATTTCTCCGAATATGTGGCGTGTACTCGACGTTTTAACACACAACGCCAAAATTAACATTACTGTTATACTGTACGGATTATATCCGYTGGCAACTTTATAATTACCTATATGAGGTTTTATATTTGTCTTGTATACTTATAACTATAATAAACGTGATGTGTAACCTATCTAAGCAAATAACAAATAAGCAAGTAAATTTTCAGTGAAATAACTAAAAAGAAAAAATTTGGTACTCATAAATATAAATTATCATACAATTTCATGAATGTCCACTATAGTATGTAAGTTGTAATGCGGATACTCAGAATCTAATTTACAAAATAGAAACTTACCATTTTTTTTTTTAACATAAATTCATTTGATRATCATCATATAGAGATTTTATTTTTTAAATTTAAATTATTGATTCCAGGCAATCCCGGACAAAACTGCTTCAATCTTCTTATAAACACACACACACAAACATGCGCGCGCACGCGTAATATATTACAATATTCAAGTAGGTAGGTACTTAATGTTCTCAAATTTAATTAATTGTTGACTTTCAAAAATGTAATCTTTAGAACATTTATAGGTATATGCTTATCATTTTACAATTTTATAAACTTTTCAACATAAAACCATGAATAATGAAACTTGTAACATGACAAGTACTTCCAAAACAAATTTTTAATTAATATTAAATAACATTTTTTAAATTATTAAATAAAATGTTTATAATTACAAATTCGATAAATGTACTAGTAAAAAACCTCATTTTATTAAATTGTTATTGTGTTGAATTTCAAGCTGYAATAATATATTATATTCAGACACCAAAACATCTAATATAAACATAGATTTAATGATTTTAAGTTGAAATAAACATTCTCCCAAATTTGTTTGATAAAATTTCAAGACTTATACAAATTAAATTTTCCAAAAGAAATTARCTGTCAAAACAGTAAASAAAAAATAAATAAATAWTATGTTTGAAATTAAAGTCGTCTACTAATGGATGTGTAAAATTCAATACCAATGTATAAATAATATCCAATGTTTAAAAAAAATAGGGTTATTGTTATTTTATATTTTTATACTGTACCTGTTATTGTAAACACTATTAAATTAATAATTAATACGTTTGCAAGTATAACTATAATTAATTTCRCTATCTTTGCTAAACAATTGAAAATTAAAAATATTATATTTATACATTGTACAYATCTATAGTCATTATCATTTAGTTTTGAAATAATCTGGTACATACTTAACTTCTAAACTACTATATATATTTAATTGAAATATTGAAATTATTAGTTGGAAATTGTCCATATACATCGATGATTATGAGATTATTATCATAGTCKTATTCTTGTGTTAATTATTTATTTGMATTTTTGATATTTGTGAAAGATACAAAGACTAAGATTAATTTTAGTCCTTGCATTATACCTTCTCCGATTAGTTTATAACTTAGCAATTAACACGGCTATAGATAGGTACTATTATTCAGAGACGGTCTATAATAAATCGCCGATATATATTTTTACCATTCGCAATAGATTAATACTTTTTGCTAATCAATACAGTAATTTTTCAAATGCTCGAAGATGTTAAAAATTTTTGCAAGCAAAATTTATCCTAATGAAACATGATCTGATGAAAGTCTTGAATTTTTTTTMCATAGTATTAATAACAAATAGGTATAAAACAAAAAATGACCAATACGTAYAAAATCAGTGCGTTCYTAATATTAACAGACAGTCGACAGGTTACTTTAATCTTCCTCAGAGGCGTCATAAAAGATTTTGGTAAATTCATACAGTTTTCCCTAAAGTCATTTTTCCGCACAGGCTATCAAGGTCGTTCTCTATATACTTCCACGGTATATTTACTCATTTATGTACTCTTAATAATACAATTTGCCAGTTGGGRGCTTAATTAAAATAATGACAGCTTGGGGATAACCTGATATTTTAAAAACAATTTAACACTTCATACTCAGATGCTAATATATCATTATTATGTTTGTAAAGTATCCTCATTGTCAAACGCATGATTTTAATTATTTTTATGAAATTAACAGTTGCTATTATTYATTCATAACTGACAGTTAACTTTAACAAACATTAAAAATGCAAATAAATAATTAACACAAGAATACGATTATGACAATAATCTCATAATCATCAATGTATATGGAAAATCTCCAACTAATAATTTCAATAAAATGTATATAGTAGTTTAGAAGTTAAGTATATATAAAATTATTTCAAAACTAAATGATAATGACTATAGATAATATGTATAATGTACAAATATMATATTATTAATTTTCAATTGTTAAGCGAAGATAGTGAAATTAATTATAGTTATACTTGCAAACGTATTAATTATTAATTTAATAGTGTTTAC